GAGGAGCCAGATTCTACAGTAGAAACCTGGAGGAAAATGCCTAGACCAGCCGGCTCTCCTTAAGCCAGGGAATGGGCTTCAGGGTTACCCGCCGCCGCCACCAGGGGGCAGCCAAGGCTACAGGTTTGAATTTCTCAGGGGCTCCTGCCAAGGCAGGGAGGTTTGCACCCCGATTTGAAGGTGGGGGAAGATCGGGACTGTCTGTGAGGCTCCAGATGAGTGCCCCTCTGCTCTCCTGTCCCCATCCTCGCTTCGCGGGCCCCTGGAGCCCCCACCCCACCAGCACGAGATTATGTCAACACAGCCCCGCTGTTTCTGGCCAGGACAATATTTGTCCTCCGGATCTGGGGAGGTCTCTATGGAGACGCGCTGCAGGTGGGAGGGGAGGCTAGGTGCGGGGAGCCCTGCCGTCCCCCCCACGTCCGGAAGAGGGCGAGGGGAGCTGGCATCTTGCCTCACCTCGGTTTGATTGTGTCAGAGCGAGTTTACCCCCATCTCTATCTATCTGTGTCCCAAGACATTGTCTGTCTGTCTCTCCCTCCCTCCCATCTCTCCGTCTCTGTCTGTTTTTTAGATACCTGTGCCTCGGGTCCCATCTCTCTGGGTCTCTTCCTCTATCTTTCACTCCCTCTCTCTGGGTCCCCATCTCTAAATTTCCCCATGACTCCTTCTCTCTGGGTTTCCTGTCTCTATGTCTCTGTTTCTTTCTGGATCTTTGTCTCTCTCTTAGGTACCATGTTTACCTGTGTTTCTCTAGGCCCCTGTCTCTGGACCTCTGTCTCTTCCTGTCTCTGGGTTCCTGTCTTTCTCTAGATTGTGTGAGTGTGTGTATCCCTGTCCCCAGAGCACTGTCGCTCTGTCTCACTGGACCTGTGTCACAGGCTCTCAGTCTCCATCTCTGTCTCTGCCTCTCTCTGGATCCCCGTGTTTGTGAGAATGTCTCTCTCGGTCCGTCTCTCTCTTGCTCCCTCTCACTCTCTCTGTCTCTGTCTTTCTGTCTTTTTGTGTGTGTGGCTCTCTTCGGGTCTCTGTCTTGCAGATTTCCTCTCAGCAGTCCTGAATCTCAGGGGGCCGCCTCAGCCTCCCATTTCTGGCCTCAGTCCCCATGGGGCACCCCCTCTCCCCACCCCTCTCTGCCTCATTTCTCCTGCACCATCTGCTGGCCCTCCAGGCCCCTACCAGCTCCCTCAGGCTCTGCTTGGCTGGGCAGCCCCATGGGGGAGGCACAGGCCTTCCAGTTCCCTCCCCACCGCTGCATCCTGAGGTGGGGGCACTGCCTGCTCCTTGCTGGGAGGTGGGTGGAGAGGACAACTGGGTGGGTGGCTGGAAACTCAGAACCAGGGCCAGTGGAAGGAGACAGACAGACAGACATGCACTGAGAAGATGGGATGAAGGGGAAGAGAAAGGAGAAAGTTTAAAGTCAGGCAAAAAGAGTCTGATGCGGAGGACGTGAGAGCGAGAGAGACCAGCGGAGGAGCAGAATGAAACCGGAGGGAAGAGAAGAAAAAAGACAGCCCTACAAGCAAGAGAGAAAGACAGACAAGCTGAGTGTGGGCTTGGAGAAAAGCAGAAAGGAGGATTCTAACCAGAGAGAGAAACAGACACGGAGAGTGATAGGCAGCAGAGAAGGCCAGGGGGAGGGGGCACGGCGGTTTCTCTGTCTGCAGTTTCCTGAAGCCCTGCGCATCGGAACTGGGGAGGACCCATGTGGCGACTATCCGCCTGGCCAAGCTGTCCTCTCCCCAGACCCCAGGAGGCTGCAGAGGACCCCGGGAGAGCTGAGAAGGGCAGGGGGCCAGGCACCTCCCCTCCTGCCCGCCAGCTCCTCTCTGTGCCCTGTTCTGCTCCGAGTGCTCCCGCGGGTGAGGGAGGGCCGCGGGGCAGCATCGCGCTCCTTCACCCCAGCAGCTCCCGCCCTGCTCATCTCTCTTCAGGGCCCCGTCCTCAGGCCTCTCTCCCTCCCTCCTCCCCTCCCCATCTTCACCTCCCAGTGTCTCCATCTCTAGTCCCTATCTCTTCTCAGTCTCTCCCTCTCTTAGTCCCTGCTCTCTCTCCTGGTTCCTCTTTTTCTGTCCCTGTGTATTTCTCTCTGTTTCTGTCTGTTTCGATTTCTTTCTGCCTGCCTCTTTCTCTTGGTCTCTCTCATCTCCGTCTCTTCCTGTCTCTGTCTCTGTTCTTTCTTGATCCTTGGTTTCTTTTCCTGTTTCCCTCACCACCTCAATTTCTCTCCACTGCTTCCCCTCCTTCCTAGTCTCTTCCCTTCCCTGTTCCAACCTCCTCCCACCTTCCCAGCCCTAGCAGAGAGGACCCCCCCCCCGCCCTCTGGGAGCCACGGAGACTCCCTCCCATCCCCAGCCTCTCCCTGAGGTGCCGGGCAATCTCAGACTCGTTTCCCTCTCTACCCCGTGAACGGAGCCTTTCCCAGGACCCAGAGGCGCCAGGAATGTGGGGCAAAGAGCAGGGAGGCCATCTGGAGGCCAGGAAGTCGGGACCCCCTCCACGTCACTCCCCTCCCCCAGACTTGCCTCCTTCCATCTTTGCCTCCTTCTCTTTCTAGCCCCCAGTGCTGGACCTCACGCCACCCCTTATTCCCTGCCCCTCCTGGGGCCTCTGGGCCTCAGTTTCTCCTCTGCAATATGGGCAGCCTTGCCTCTGGCCCACTTATCTCTTAGGTCCCAGGGGAGAGTGTGCTCATGAATGTTAATAGTATGATTAATGTGCACGCATTGGTAGTTTGTATTAAAAGGGGAGACGGCCAGGGCTCCGCCTCTCAGCCGTCCCCCCACGTGCACAGACGCCCCTCATGTCGTCGCGCAAAGGAAGAGGCTGGAAGAGGGGAATGTGAGACGTGGAAGTCGGTGGCGGTGGTGACCAGGAGACCGTGTGAGGCCGTGGGCTCCCGTGCGACGGTGGGATGATGCTGTGTGACCCTGTGTGACTCGCGAGTGTGGGTGAGGCTGTGATGGAGAGACTTGTGTATCTGTACGCCCACAGCACTGGATGCGACTGTGTGAGGGGGACGGCGTGACAGTGTGATGCGGGCAGTCTGTGACGGTGTGCGCCTCGGTGACAGCGGGGTGATGTGTGTTGTTGGGACGATGATGTGATTACGTGAAGTGCTGTGTGAGAGTGTTAATGGGCGCGGTTGTGTAATATTGTGAGTTACCTTCAGGTGGTAGCACTACAGGATTATATGACTATGTGAGGACCCACAATAACTGTGCACTTATTTAACCCATAACCATTCTATGAGCCTTTCCGCTCTGTGCCCAGACCTGTGCTAAGTGATGCTGGGGGACCCAGAGATGCCCTGGACCTGTGCTCACGGGGCGCGCAGGCCAGCAGCGGGGGACAGATGGTGCTTGTGGTGTGACCTAGTGATTGTGGGAATGTGTGTGATTCACACGGTATCACTGGAACTGGGGAACGTTGTGATCGTGTTACTATGTGAGTGCCGGAGTCCACGCCCCGGGACGTGAGGCTGTGTGTCACTGTGGATGAATGTCAACCTGTGGGTGAGAGGCCTTGGTTCTCTGGGTGTGACTGTAGATTGTACAGCTGTGAATATACGTGAGGAACATGTTCTGTGAGGGACAGTATGTGACATTCTGTGCTGAGCCTCTCTGTGTCTCGGTTCATGGGACTGTGTGTGACGCTGTGCGTGTGACTTCAGGACTGCCTGAGACTCCGCGGGCGATGGCTGGGTGGGACAGTGTGAGGGACTGCACTGGGGGGGTCCTCAGGATGATGGCTCCAGGACTGCTCTCCCATGTGACCTTGAGTGACTGTGATACTCACAGGCGACTGGCCCCTGCTCCCCCTTCCTGTCCCCCCCCAGCCCTGGCCCCGCCCCCTCCCACCCTCACAGGCTGTCACCTCTTCCAGAGCCCAGGCAGAGCAGTGGAGGCAGCAGCAGAGGCAGCAGCAGGACAGGTGAGGCCCCCCAAATCCCAGCCCAAGCCCCCTACCGCTATGGCCCCCTCAAGTCTCTGGGTCCCTCTCTCTTAGCCCATGCCTTTGTGTGTGTGTGTCTCTCTCTCTCTCTCTCTGCACAGTCTCTAACCTCTTGTCTGTCTCTCTCGGTATCTTCCCAATCTGTCTCCCGATCCTTGTCTAACCTCTGCGTGGCTATGTACCTCTACCTCTTCCCCCATTTTGTAGTCTGTCTCCATGTCTTTATCTCCTCGCTATCTCCCGGCCCACATTTTCGCCTGTTCCTCTGCCTTTTGGGCTCTGGTCCTTGCTGTACCTCTTCTGTCTCAGGCTCGGTGCCTCCCTCATGTGTCTCATGCGTCTCCGACTGGTGTCTGTTGGCTGCTCTGAGATGCCCCTGCCTCCCCTTTCCCTGCGTGATGCTGGGCCAGGGGTGTTCTACGTGACACAGATTCCCAGGCCCCTGGGCCCCTGCAGATCTGAGCCCAGGGTCTGATGCCTCTCTAGTCCCTAGGAAGAGAGATGTCCCATCCACTCTGGGCTTTATCCACTGCGGGGAAAGTTTTATAAGGTCGGGTTTCTAACCGCGATTTGAAAACCCTTTGGGCTCAGAGAGTGGGAAATCCAAGGGTCATTTCAAGCTCTGTGCCTGACAGCTTCGGTGCCCTCCTCTCCAAGACGGTCCCCAGGTGTCCCGAAGTCTCTACGTCTAGACTCCGGGTGACAGGAGCACTTCCACCCAGCGTAGCGCTAGGACAACCACGCCCTCAGCAAACAACCCCCTCCCCTTTCACCGCTGCTGCTCCAGCAACAGCTGGGGGTGGGCCCGGGAATCACGTGCCGTGCCGGGTCCCACCCTCACCCCCTCCTCACGCGTCTCCCCCGCTCCCCACAAATCGTCACTCGTGGGGGCGGCGGGGGGCGCTGCCTCGGAGCCCGCGTCCCGGAGCTGGGTGGCGCGGGGGCTGCGGGCGGAGGCAGGAGGCTCCTGACACCGCCCTCCGACCCTCCAGGCTGGCTGCCTCGCGCGACCTGCCCCGCGTCCCCCGAGCCCCGCGGCCCTCGCCATGCCCGACTGTCCGCCCTGGAAGCGGCGGCTGCTGCTGCTGCTCCCGCTGTTGGGGCCGCTGCTCCAGAAGGCGGAGGTGAGGACCCGAGGAGCCGCGGGAGTTCAAGGCTTGGAGGGCGGACTGGGACCGGTTTTAAGTCGTCCCTCACTGCAGAGAGGGGAAGGCTGCCCCGCCCGTCCGGATTCAAGCGTCGATGGTGGTTTCCAATCCCTCTTCTTTCCCTCGCGCATCCTCCTGACGGCTTCCAGCCACCCTTTCCCCACTTTTCCTGAAGGTTTTCAGTCCCCCGCAGCAGCTCCCCAGGTGGCTTCAGGGCGCCCCTCAAGAGTTAGAAGAGGTTTCTCAGCCACCCAAGACTCCCGGGCAAACAGGACAGCCCCTCCAAGCCCCTCGAGGGTTTCTGGCCCACGAGAACCATGCAGCCTGGGAGCGGAGGTCGGTCGGGGTGGGGGGTCCTCCCTTCTCTTTCTCCGTAGACAGGCTCTGAGGGGCAGACGGCGGGGGAGCTATACCAGCGCTGGGAACGCTACCGCGGGGAGTGCCAGGAGACGCTGGAAGCCGCGGAGCCCCCAGCAGGTGTGACTGCGGGAGGGGGCGCGCTGGGCGGGAGGGGGCGGGCTGGGGGCCCGGGAAAGGCTAGGGTTGAGAGGGTGGGCTTGGGGCGGTCCTAGGACTAACGGGCAGGGCCTGACAGAGTTGTCTGGGGTGATACGGGCTGGGTCGGGAAGGCCTGGGTGGGCTTGGCCTCGGTGGGAAGAGCCTAGACCTGAGGGCGATGCAACTAAGATTAGTGATAGGAGCTTGGGAAGCTGCTTGAAGTGGGCGGGGTCCTGGGCGGTGCTGCACTGCGTGGGTGGAGTCTGAAGTGGCCCGCAAAAGGGTTTGGGGGCGGAGCCTAGGAAGGGCCTCACGGAGTGGGAAGCACGTGCGCGGCGGGAACTTGCCAGAGTAGGGCTAAGAGGATGGGCAGGGCCTTGGGGCCTGAGGGGCGGAGCCACGACGGAGCAGGGATGGACCCCTCCAGGTGGGCGGGCCGAGGGCAGGACTTGTGGGTGTAAAGAGGAGAGGCATTGGGCCCGAGGTGCCGTAGGTCCTGCTGACGTCTGGCCCCCACGCCCACCCCAGGCCTCGCCTGTAATGGGTCCTTCGATATGTACGTCTGCTGGGACTACACTGCGCCCAACACCACTGCCCGTGCGTCCTGCCCCTGGTACCTGCCCTGGCACCGTCACGGTGAGGTGTCCCCCGGACCGCGGGCCTTTCCTTGCACAAACAGCTCCTAACCCTTGCCCCAAACATCGCTTCCCCGAAACTCACCTACACGCCATCTCTTGCTCCTCTCTGTCCAGCTGGGCGTCTCCTCCGTCTGTCCAACACTGGCTGGGTCGCCCGGATCCTGGCTCTGTCGGATATGCCCCTTCTCTGTCTCTACCTCTCTGAGGACCATGGGGTTCTTAATTTCTCTCTTTTTTCTGAATGTCTCTGGTCATCCTGGTCTTCCTTTCCTAACTAGCTATGTGGTCCAGGGCAGTTTGCTTAACATCTTTATGCCTCAGTCTCTTCATTTGTAAAATGGGATTGATGGTAGTACCAACGTCATAGGCGTCTTATGAGTATTAAATTAATACGTGTAAAATTCCATACAAGGGCTTATCCTCAGCATCACGTTTGCTATCTCCCTCTGCCTTTGACTCACAGTTAGTCTTTCTATCTCCACCTCTCTCTGCACCTCTGATTCCCTCCCTCAACTCCCCACAGTGGCTGCAGGTTTTGTCCTTCGCCAGTGTGGCAGTGACGGCCAGTGGGGACCTTGGAGAGACCATTCTCAGTGTGAGAACCCAGAGAAGAATGGGACCTTCCAGGTAAGAAGAGGTGAGGGATTCAGGTTGGATGTCTAGGGAGAGTTAAAGAAGCAGCCCCCTCAGACCAAGCCTGAACCCCTTGTATTGTTCAGGAGTCTGGGTCTCAAGTGCTAGAAACTGAACTTATACTTGCTTGATGGAAAACAAAATGTATTTATTTCTGTGCTGGAAAAGTATAAGGCCACAGCTTCAAGCACAGCTGGATTTAGGTGCTCAAATGATGTTGTTGGAAACCTCTTTTTTGCTCATCATATTGTGCCTATTTTTTTTTTTCTCTGTGCTGCTCTCATCTTTTCTGTGGAGTGGAAAAGGTTTTCACCATTAACACCTGGCTCACATCCCACCAACCACGAAACTGTGGAGAGACTGAGCTTCGTTCTCAATAGTTCCAGCATAATGTCCCAGGACTGACTTTTTTGAAATTTTATTTTTCAATTACAGTTGACATTCAATATTATTTATATTAGTTTCAGGTGTACAGCATAGTAGTTAAACAATCATGTAATTTATAAAGTGATCCCCTCAATATTTCAAGTACCCACCTAGCTCCAAACTTACAGGCCTGACGTCTCTTATTGCCCTGGTTTGGGTGATGTGTCCCACCCTGGACTAATCATTCTGTACGTAAGTGTGTGTGGGCGGGGAGGGAGGTTAGAACGCTCTGATTGGCTGGTCACATGCCCAGCCCTGGAGCTGCGGGGTGGAGTTAACTCCACTCAAATAAGGGTAGTTGGATCCTCAAGAGAAAATTGAGGTGCTAGGCAAGAAGAGCAGTGTCCATCCGGCCCCTTCCTGGCCCTGGGGAATGAGCTGAGTCCTGTACCTGTGTGTTCCCCCGCACCCCTCAGGACCAAAGGCTGATCTTGGAGCGGCTACAGGTTGTTTACACTGTGGGCTACTCCCTGTCCCTGGCCACACTGCTGCTAGCCCTGCTCATCTTGAGTTTCTTCAGGTGGGACCCCCAACCGTGAGTGGCACGGGCAGAGACTGAGTCTCTGTTTCCCCGCTAAGATGGGGTGGTCAGGCTCCACCAGCAGCAAGCACCCAGGGGCGGTTCTGCGGGAAGAATGGCTGGGAGGTGGTCTAAGGGGCTCTGCGCGGCCGAGCACAGGGCCCCGGGAGTGCCCACACTGCCTCCCAAATCTCCAGGCGGCTGCACTGCACTCGAAACTACATCCACATCAACCTGTTCACATCTTTCATGCTGCGGGCAGCAGCTATCCTCACCCGAGACCGGCTGCTACCTCCACCTGGCCCCTCCCCTGGGGACCAGGCCCCTATCCTGTGGAACCGGGTGAGCATCATCCTTCTCCTTCTCCAGCTGGGATTCTGCCCCCTGAAGTAGGCTAGGAGGTTCCCAATCTATTTGCTACCCGCTATGCTATCAACAGTTTTTCTCTCTCTTGACCACGCCAAATACTTTTGGACAGGGACTCCCAACTCAGTCTCCTCCATTGTTGACCCCAATCACTTCCCTTTATTGGAATTTCCCATTCTCTTTCACTCTATTACCAATCATTGGACTTTTCCACCAAGGAGGGAGTCTTCTGCTGGAGGTGAGAAGAAAGGATGGGAGAAACCAGCTGGTTAGGGGTGGGGGTTTGATAGATACCAGTTTGTTACTAACAGACAAGGTGAGAGAGGTCAGAGGCTGAGGACAGAGGTGAGAAAAACTATCTGGTAGCCACTCTGGCCCCAGCCAGTTGTTAGGAGACGGTGGGTGGGGAGAATGCGTTTGCTGGTGCTAAGAGGAGATGAGATGGGAGGAACCTTTGGGGAGGCAGGGTAGTTCACTTCTTAGAAGGCGATAGGGGGGGGGGGGAGAGGCCACAGTGTGTCGGGGGTCTGGGAGAAGGCCGATAGCGGGATGGAAGGTACCAATTGTTTAAGAGTTTAGAGGGGGAGAGTGCATATAGGGCGAGAGGAACCCATCCCAGGTACCGTCCTTTGGTGATAGAGAGTGGGAGAATATTTGATAACAAGAGACGGCGGGGAGGGGTTGTGGGTGTGTGAAGGGTTGACCAGGTGCAGCAAAGCTGGGGGACGCCGGCCACCCTGACTGCCCCCTCCCCCTGTCTGGCCACCCTTAGGCTCTAGCCGCCTGCAGAACGGCGCAGGTCGTGACCCAGTACTGCGTGGGGGCCAGCTACACGTGGCTACTGGTGGAGGGCATCTACCTGCACAGGCTCCTGGTGCTCGTGGGAGGCTCCGATGGGGGTCACTTCCGCTGCTACGTGCTCCTCGGCTGGGGTGAGCCCCGACCCTGGCCCCTGCCCAGCCCGGTGCTCCAGCGCTCCCCGACTGCCCTGCTGGTCTGCCTCAGGCAATCTCTTCCTCTCTCTAGGCTTTTGCCTCCCCACCTCGGCGGGGGAATTCCGTGGGTCTTGGGCCAGGCGGGGCCCGTGTGCGTGCTGACAGCTGCGGCGGGGTGGGGGGCGGGGGTCGGGGTCTGCACAGGGGCCCCCGCGCTTTTCGTCATTCCCTGGGTGATCGTCAGGTACCTGTACGAGAACACGCAGTGAGTCGCGGGGCCTGGGTCGGGTCTGGGAGGCGGGCGGGGCTTTGAGGCACGTGGGCGGGTGTGATGGAAACGTGGGGTGGTTCTTATGGCGTCTGGGGGCGTGGAGGGAACGAGGGCGGGGGTCTAAAGAAATGGCAGCTTGGAAAGATTGTGTTCGAGGGCTCCTGGAAGGGGCGGGATGAGGGCAGGGCCAGCAAAGTAACGGACGAGCTAGAAAGGAATGTGGGTGTGGCACTAAGGAAGGATTGAGGGAGACGGGAGGGCGTGAGTGAGTGACAGTGGGTCTAGAGGTTTTCAGTCTCTTAGCTCTACAACCCCTGCAGGTGCTGGGAGCGGAACGACGTCAAGGCCATTTGGTGGATCATACGCACCCCTATCCTCATGACCATTTTGGTATGGCCGGCCCTGCCTCCTCCAGGCCGTCTTCACGGATTTCCCATCCTGGGAAGAGGGGCGCCACCCGCTACCTCCCAGGACAGGATCCGGCTGGCTCAGCCTCTTTCTCTCCCCGCAGATTAATTTCTTCATCTTTATCCGCATTCTTGGCATCCTCGTGTCCAAGCTAAGGACACGGCAGATGCGCTACCGGGACTACCGGCTGAGGTAGGGGAGGGTGGTGGAGAAGTAGGGAATGACGGCCAGTGAGACGGGGACCCGGGGCCACAGGACCGCTGCCACCCTCCACCTCTAGGCTGGCTCGCTCCACGCTGACGCTGGTGCCCTTGCTGGGTGTCCACGAGGTGGTGTTTGCTCCCCTGACAGAGGAACAGGCCCGGGGCCAGCTGCGCTTCGCCAAGCTGGGCTTTGAGATCTTCCTCAGCTCCTTCCAGGTGCTCAGGCTGGGGGCGGGGCTACACCCTTCCACAGGGGGCCCTTCTCCCGGGAGGGGCAGGAGGGCTACAGTCATCCTCTGGCGCCGCCCCTGAGGTGGGTGTGACGATGGGACTTCCTTCGTTCTACGCGAAATCCCGAGCTGGCGCTGTCTTGAGCTGAGGAAGCAGCAGGGATCAAGACAGGAGACTGGAGGCCTCTGCAGTGCTGACTGCCTCCTGATGAAGATCTAGGGCTTTAAGACCTGACAGGGCTGGGGCCCAATTGGGGTCTGTCACTTACCAGCTCTGTGGCCTCCACCTGAAGGTCAGAACTAGGTGGGCAAGAGAGTTACTTAAAATGTAAAATTGAAGGCCAGCCTTGCACTTGCTTCCCCTAATGCAGGTCCCCACCCTGCTTTACCTCCTTGGGCCCGGTTTTCTCACCTCTGAAGTGGTGCTAACACTAGTTTCATCCCACAAGCCTGTTCATTTCATTCAATTCAGCAAACATTTATTGAATATTTACTATGTGCTAAGCATTTTCCAAGCTCACTGTGGGTATACGGCCAGCAACCAAATGGTCTAGTGGGAGACAGATGCTAAACACGCTGCATAAATACTGGGTTGGCCAAAAAGTCCATTTGGTTTTTTCCCATAAAATAAAAGACATATTGTTCATTTTCACCAATAACTTTATTGATTTGGACATTTTGAGTATGTCGGCTCTCTCCTGCTATTGGCTTCTAGTGGGTAGAGGCCAGGGGTGCTGCTAAACATCTTCCAATGCATAAGACAGCTCCACAGCAAAGAATCATTTGGCCAAAATGTCGTTAGCCCCAAGAAACTGCGCAAACCACTTTTGACACATTTGATCAGTCACAGCACCTTCCCCATACACTGCACATATCTTTTTTTTTTTTGCATTTCAGTTGCATTTTTACCTTTCTTGACATAATAAAGCACACTACGCCAAAAGTGTTGTGTATTTTCTCCCATCTTCAATATTAAAGTGTGCACAAAAATTCACCAATTTTGATAAGTTTTTTAAAAAATCCATGCTGATAGGACAGCTTTCACAATGCAATCTAAGCAAATTGTTTCAAATGAAGTTAAAGACAACTAAGCACGGCTAGAGCCATCCTTTGGGAGAAAAAAAAAACAACTAAATGAACTTTTTGGCCAACCCAATAAAATATACACAATGGCAGATGTTAAGATGTACCTAGAGGGGGAAAAGCAAGAAAATAGAGGTGAGGATGAGGCGCAGGGTGAGGTTACGGACAGGAGCTCAGGGGAAGGCCTCGCTGAGACAAAGATACTGGAGCAGAGAAGGGAAGAATCTGAAGGAATGAGCGAGGCAGAAACTTGGGGGAAATGTTCCAGTAAGAGAAACTTAAAATGTAAGATCCCTGGGTGGGAGAGAGTATCTGTCACGAGGGAGGAAGGCTGGCATGCCTGACACCGGGGGAGCCAGCAGGAGCAGGAAGGAGATAAGGCAAGTAATAGCTTACCAATAACACATACAAATCATTGATTTGTATTAATTTGTCAAGTGATTTATTATTATAAATATAAGTGGATTTTATATTTACTTAAATTTCTATGTGAAATGTATACAAATATAAAACGGATAACACTATTAATAATTTATAATCAAGAATTAAAATTAACTTATACCAATAATTATAATAAACAACTGGTTTGTTAATAATTATAATGATTATTAATATATAATAATGGAAAAATAAGTCATAATAAGAAAAAGGTTTAACACTGTGTGCCAGGCACTACAGCTTCTTGCGTATTAATACTTCAATTCTCTCACAACCACCACTGTATTATCCCATTTTCCAGATGAAGAAACTGAGGCCCAGAGGGGTTAAGCAACTTGCCCAAGTGGGATAGAAAGTAGCGAAGGGATTGTCACAGGCAGAGTCCTTTTTATTGCTCAGCCAACCGCAGAGGGCAACGGGTGGGAAGAGGAAGTGTGGGGAGCGGGGAACAAGGGGGAAGGTGACTACAAAAGTCTACGACCAGGGTAGCGGCAGCCGTGGTGGTCTGGGGCCTGGCAAGGGTCCGAGCTTTTAAAGGGGTGTTTATAAATGCTGTCCCCAACCCCCAATTTAACCCTGCGCCTTGTTTGACAGGGCTTGCTGGTCGGCTTCCTCTACTGCTTCATGAATAAGGAGGTAGGGAGAGCTCTGACCCACCGCCCGCGCCCTCTGGCGGCCACTCCGGGAACGGCGTGCTAGGCACCGCCTCTGAGCGCTGTCCACTTGCAGGTGCAGTCGGAGATCCGCCGTGGCTGGCACCGCTGCCGCCTGCGCCGCAGTCTCGGCGAGGAGCTGCGCCAGCCCTCGGAGCGTGCCTCTTCGACCCTGCCATTGGGCTCGGGACCTAGCCAGGTCGCCACTGGCCTCGCCCTGTCCTCGAGGAACCTCCCGGGGCCTGGGGATGAGGCCGGCCGGGTCTTGGAAAGTTACTGCTAGGCAGCGGGATTCCTGCGATCATTCAGTTAACATGTATTTATTGAGTGCCTACTGTGTACTAGGCCCCTCGTGGAGGGTGCTGGGGAAGTGGGGGAGGGGGTGGAAACAGAAGACAAGGTCCCTGTTCTCCTAGAGTTCACAATTGAGTGGGGCAGGGGGTGGGGAGGAGGGAACAGACCGTGAAGACAGCACATCAAGTTATATATACACTGTGGAACAGCTTATGAAGAAAAAGTAAAAGGGGGCTCAGGGTGGTCGGGGAAGGCATCTCTGAGGAGGTGACATTTAAGCCCCACCTGCAGGAAGTGAAGGAGACAGCTTTGGGAAGAACTGGCAGGCAAGAGTCTAGGCACAAGGAATGACAGCTGCAGAGGCCCTGGCACAGGAAGGAGCTTGGACATGTCTTAGGGACAGAGAGGTGGCCTTCACACCTGGAGCTGGGATGAGTCAGAGCCAACAAATGGAGAGACAAGTGGGCAGGGGCATGAGAGTTGGGATTTTATTCCAGGTGCACTGAAAATTCTTAGCAGGAGTGTTTCATGGGCTAATGCTGTAAACAGAAACTTCTTTGTCTGCCCTGAGGGGGAACAGATTATTAGCAGCAGGGGTGGAAGCTGGGAGCCCAGTGAGGGGACTGAAGGCAGGAGGAGATGACTGAGCTGGGGTGGTGGCCACCGACGGGCGTGAAGCAGTTGGACTCTGGAGCTATCCCAATGGTAGAACGGAGCACTTGGCAATGGACTGCACTGAGGAAAGTTCAGCAAGGAGAGAAGTCCAGGAAGGCTTGTAGGTTTGAGCCCGTGGAGAAAGGAGATAGGGAGGTAGCATTCAGGGTGGGGTGAACCAAGAGTCCTCTTTGGACACAGTTAGCTGGGACTGAGGGCCTGGAGCTCACGAGAAAGGCCAGAGTTGGAGACGGACGTGTGAGCTCACTGGGGTCCAGGGAGGAGGATTCAGTGTGTAGATGCAGACCTCGGCTGAGCCCTTACATCCGGAGAGGCCAGCACCACGTCCCCACCCTCCTGGGGGGCCCCCAGGGCCCTGGGAGAATTGGGGAAAAGCAAAAGCCACATTGTAGCTGGACCGCCCGTACATGCGCAAGACCCTCACTTCTAAGTCTTTCACCCCCGCAGATACTCACAGTTTCAATTAGTGCCTGGGTGTTGTTGATTATTTCCCTTGGGTCTTCAGCTTCCTGGAGAGATGAACTCAAGAGTCCTTTAAGCATGAGGTGGCCTTGTTGGGACCCCTTTGTGAGTTTTGGGAGGGTAAGGGCCCTACAGCAGGCCTCTTGTAAATAAAGCATGACAAAAAGTTGTTTTTAATCCTTACCTGGAGGTATGTTTATTGTTTGAGAAAGGGAGAGAAAGACATCGATCCAACCCACAACATAGGTGTGTGCCCTGACCAAGGATCAAACCCACCACTTTTTTGTGTACTGGATGTTGCTATAATCGAGCCTCCTGGCCAGGGCAACAGTTGTGTTGTTTTTGGGTGTGTGTGTGTGGCGGGGGGGGGTGGATCTTTCTGGCCAGGCCATGAAAGGAAATGACTGAGGCAGGGTGCCTGGCTGGGAGCCCGTGGCAGCCCCCCCCCCCCGCCCCCGCCGGAGGGTAGCACTGTTCTTCAGCCCTGTGTTGCCATGATAACAAGGACATCAACATGGACATCGTGCTGCCACTGTCCCCGCTGCTTAAGAAGCTGCAGCTGAAACCGTTCATGCGACCGCCTGATGCATAACTATAAACATTTGCAGTGTATATGATTAAAATGACGTGAGTGAGCCAAACATTTCCTGTGGGCTGCTGCTCTAGGAAGGTGGTATGAAGAGTAAAGCTGCAAGCATTTAAATGAGTCTGAAGTCTTAAAATCAAGTGTTTGATTATTTGGTTATTGAATGCCTAGCTGTGGAAGTTTACATATACATAATTTATGTATAATAACCATTTTATGTATTTTTTAACCACATTTTTTTATTGTGGTAAAATAGATACATAATACAAGTTTTGCCATTTAACCAAAAGAAAAAGAGTAAAGCTGCAGGACACAGCCTGGTTCAAATCTTAGTCTGGCTGCTTATTGGCTGTGTGACTTGGGGAAAATTCTCAGCCCCTCTGTGCCTCAGCTCCCTCTCCTGGGAACAAGAGGTAACAAATAACAGTACCTGCTCAGAGCTGTTGGGAGGAAGTCTGAACAGCAGAGGTGAGGGCTGGCACCCTGACAGCTCAGCAGGTGACAGGCATGACTACCATCAGTATTTGGGTATCGACTGCTTTAAATGTGTTCTTTTCCGTCAGTGAGGGCAGGCTGGGGGCTGTCTCGGCCCTGATGTGTCCCCAGCATTGCAACACAGAGCTGGACACAGAGGAGGTACCTGGGGGATGTTTCCCTAACTGAATAAATAGGAAAAAAGAACAAAAGAAACTTTGAGCAAGAATGACTCATTGAGTCAGGGGAAAGGAGAGAGGAGTAAAGACAAGCTAAGAAAAATTAAAATAGGAAAGAGCAGAAGCTCTGTGGGGAAACTGAGGCACAGAGGGGCAGGGACCGGTCCTCTTCACCTGCTCAGAGATGTCCCGACGCCAGTGCTTGGCCCATACCCAGCTGTTTCCCTCCCCCAAGCCCACCCCGCTCACAGGGCCCTGGGAACAGAGAGATGCCACTAGAAAAAAAAACACAGGACTTTATTGTTCTCATGTCAAAGGTCAAGTCTTTGTAGGACTGGGCAGCGGGACCTGCCGGCAGGGAGGGAGCGCCAAGTAGGAGGGAGCGCCTACTTGCCGGCGATGAGCGGGTTCCGCAGGACCACGATGACCGAATCCCCGCGCAGGAACATCTTGGAGATGTAGCGGTCCTTGTTGACTGGCTTGGATTTCTTCTTGCCCTTGCCACTCTTGGGGACCTCGGTCCACATCTCCTTCACATTCTCTAGCACCATGTTGCAGTGCCTGGTGGGGACAAGGAGTAGGGAGGCAGCGGGTGTGAGGGGGCAGCCTTGTGACCAGCCCTTCTCTTCAAGGTGCTGCCTCTCCCCTCCAGCAGCGTGGCTGCGGGCCCTGGGCCAGGACAGCTGGGCTGCCACTGCCACCTCTGCAAGTCTTCCGGTGGAGGCTGGGGCAAAAGACTGCATCCCTCTGTGCCTCAATTTCTCCCTTTCCAAAATGGAGACATTTATGGTGTCCACCTCACAGGGCTGCTGTGAAGGTTAAATGAATCAACACAGCATTCTTGTGTAAACTATTTAGAACAGGATCTGGCACAAGGTGAAGCAAACAACATGGTTCTGCTTGTGCTTTTTAACTCCCAGTATATCTGGAGGCATCGGCAAAGGAGCTTCTCCTCTCTGCAGAACCAGAGGCCCCTGCGGCCTGAGGGGGCACATGTGAAGACAGTACGGAGCAGCGCACTCAACGAACGCTTGCAACAAATGAAATAGACACGCCTGCCCTCATGGGGTGTGCATTTTCAGGAGGGGAGAAGGATGCAAAGTAAGTGAACAAAAAGACCTGGACCTGCAATATGCTGTCAAGTGGTAACTACTATGAAGAAAAACTAGCCCTGGTTGGTGTGGCTCAGCAGGTTAAGCGCCAACCTGTGAAATGAAAGGTCACTGGTTCGATTCCCAGTCACAGCACATGCTTGGGTTGCAGGCCGGGTCCCCAGTTGGGAGCAAGCAAGAGGCAACTCATTGATGTTTCTCTCATATACTGATGTTTCTCTCTCTCTCTCTCCCTCCCTTTCCCTCTCTCTAAAATTAAAGTAAGTAAAGCTATAAAAAAAAAAACAAAAAGCAAACCAAACAAACAAAACTAAAGCAAGGTGAAAGGATAAGAGGATACACAGAAATATCTCCAAATAGCAAGATAAAAACATTAAGAAGAATGAGGAAGCTCTGTGCCTTGCCATGGAGTAAATTCCAGGAGATGCTGTGGAGAGAAAAAGGCACAGTGGGGAACAGTATGCATGGGAAGTTATCTTTTGTAGGGAAAAAACGGGGTAGGGGCAGGAGAAGCCTACCGCCCTCTTGCTTTTCTATCTTTATTTAATTTACTGATTTTGCAGAGAGGAAAGGAGAAAGGGAGAGAAACACTGATTCGTTGTCTGGCTTAGCGATGCATTCACTGGCTGATCCTTGTGTGCGCCCTGACTGGGTGCTGGCCGATGGGGGTGGCGCGCTAGTCCACTGAGCGGTTTCACCTGGCCAGGGCTTGCCCACTTGCCTGCACAAGGCAGCCTCTCAGGAAGACACCTAGAGACTGGTGGCAGTGGAGTGACGCAGGGGACCAGGGACATGGAAACGTTTCACTGGGATGTTATTAAGTGAAAAAGCCAAAGTCAAAAGCTGTGTGCTGTGCCATTGGTAGTGATTTAAAAACAAACTCAAAAGCAGCCTCCTCTATCATTATGTCTGATGTTATATTCAAGTAATATTCTGGGAGCGAACCTCGGGAATTAGCCATGGTGGGGCCCCTGGGGACTGTAACTGGGGGGGCTGGGAGGGGCAGGGAGGAAAGACTTGCTATTCATGGAGTGCCTTTTGTATCTTTCAAATTTTGCCTCAACACACGCACTATTCACTTAAGAAAGCAACATAACTAAGTAAACGGAGAAGGCGGTTGAGAACACCGCAGCTCACTTGCAGCCATATCCTCAGACCACTGACAGGCGTGAGAAACAAGATGCACGAGAGCACAGGGGAGATTCTACTGTAAAAGCAATTGATTTTATGATTATTATGACAGGTCAATTATACCAACACCGCAAAGGATGCCGAGTCAAATGTGATGGGCTACACAGTAGGGTGGGAGGCTGGGTGGGGTGGAGAGGCGGGAGGTTGATATGGGAGCAGAGGAGAACTAGAGGAAAACGAAAAGGAGTCAACTTATAAGAAAAAAGAAAATTTATATATACACATCGCCACTCACTGGCACCTGCCAGGTGCCCAGGCCCCTTCTATGCACTTTCTAAGCATTAAGCCATTAATCACTGCATTTCACCCGCAAGAGGTGAACACCAGTGCTACCTCTCACCTCTACAGCAGGCAACTGAACACCCTAGGTCACACATTTTGAGAGTGGCAGAGACTAGGTTCAAATCCATGTCTAGCTGCATCCTGGTGCTTGCACTTCCTATTGTTCTTCTCATTTTACTCAAGAGGAAAGTGAGGCTCAGAGGGCAAGACTTGTTTGTCATCACATAATAGCTAGTGGCCAAAATATTCCAGAATTGAGCCTGAGCACACTACTGTGAGGAAGGCACTGCCCAAACGCCAACAAAAGGTTACAGCTTATATGTTTGCTGGGCATTACCCTGTGTTAGATTCTGAATCCAGTGCTTTTCATACATAATATCCTTTAGTTCTCCCAACTGTTCTACAAGGGGTATGATATGGAAACAAGCCCAGAGAGAAGAACCGCTTTACTGTTCCCTGTAGCTGAAACACTCAAACCCCAGACTGCTTGTTCATTTTATTCACATCTGTTCACTGCTGCCTCTTCAGATGGGGCTTCTGATTAACCACGTAAGACAGCACCCCCTTCACAGTGCTCCACATTCTTACCTGGCTTTACTTTTCTCAGTAGATCTTATCACTCCCTGTTGGCTTCCCTACCTATACATAACAAGCTCTCAGAGTCTAGGAACCATGTTTGTTTTAGTCACCGCTGCATCTCCAGAGCCTAAAACAGTACCTGGTATGGTGCACACTCTAAGTATGTAATAACTAAATTGAGAACATCCTGTGTGCTAGATGTTGTACTTCTAGTGATTTACTACAGTTGACACGTATGAAGCCCCTGGATCTTTGCAACCACTATGATTACTGTCTCTGTACAGATGAGATAGTCACTTGCTGAAGGTCACGTGGCTAAGAGGCAGAGTTGGGACATGAAACCACAAGGACGGGCTCCTAAGCAGATGACCGTAACCACTGTCCTGCACAGCTGAAGGGGCAGCAAGGGACAGTCACACCTCAGGTTTTAAGGTGCTAACTCTCCCAGCTTCTGAGAAACCTGACAGACAGCCTCCTCAGACTGGAGCTGGGACTGCTCCTCCAGGCCTGGTCAGAACCCCTCCCAAGACCCTGCCAAAAAGCCTTCATTGTCCTCGCTGGTGTGGCTCAGTGGACTGAGCATCAGCCTAAGAACTGAAAGGTCGCTGGTTTGATTCACAGCCAGGGCACATGCCTGGGTTGTGAGCCAGGTCCCCAGCTGGGAGCGTGCAAAAGACAACCAGTTGATGTTTCTCTCACATATCAATGTTTTTCTCCCTCTCTTTCTCCCTCCCTCTCCTGTCTCTAAAAAATAAATAAATAAAATCTTAAAAAAAAAAAAGAAGATAAAAAAAGCCTTCACCTGTCAAAAGCCTTCACACGGCCCAGGAGCTTCTTGTTGTTGCGACAGTTGATGAGGACCTGGGTGTTGTTCTTGACCGACTGCGTGAGCACGGAGAGCGGGCCTGTGTTAAATTCTTCCTCCTCCCGCTTCTGCAGCTCCTCCGGGGTCATCTCACTCTTGGGCTTGTTGAGGAGGCTCCTGAGTGGACAAGTGCGGAAGCCATAGGTGAGAGAGCCCGGAGCTGGAGCATGGGTGGGCACGTCCCCTCACACCGTGTCTCTCCAACCCTTCCCCAACACACCCACCCTCCTGCTCAATCCTCGCCCGGCATCACCACTTGGTTTGGAGGAGATTTCTAATCTTGTACGTCCTAGACTGAGCTCCACAATGCCCGCCACCTCAGTTTACTCTATCCACAGCCTTCGTCATCTCCATCAATCGTAACTCCATCCTTCCAGTTCTTCGAGCAAAAATCCTGATGTCAACTTGATTCTTTCCATTCTCTCACATCCTACATTTCAATGTCAGCAAATCCTATCATCTGCGTCTAAATTATGTCCAGAATCCGACCATCTCTTTCCACAGCCCTCCACCATCTCTTAAGAGTCTTACTAGTCTCCCTCCCTTCACCCACTCCCACCAGTGTTCTCCAAAGAGCAGCCCCAGGGCTTGTGCGGACAACTAAGTCACATCCCCTCTCTCTTCAAAACCCTCCCACGGCTCCCATCTCAGTGTAAAAAATAAAATCCCAAGTTTTTAACCATGCCCGGCATCTACCCGTCTTTCACTCTGTTCCAGCCAGAGTGGTCTCCTGGGTGGTTTAGATATTAGGCAAACTTTCACCGCGGGCCTCTGCATTTGTTTTCCCCTCTGCCTGGATGCCTCCCCAGGTGTCTCTGCAGTTTGTTCTCTCATTTTCTTCAGGTCTTTTGCTCAAATGTTGCCTTCTCAATGTGTCCTCATGTGCTAGTTTTTAAGTTACTGTCTCTCAAAATTGGCATTAGTCATTGTTCTTACTCTGCCCTTCTCACCTTACACACCATACATTTTTCCTGTTTATTAATCATTACATTTAGCCACCCGCCTCTTCCTGCCCCATAAGCTGTAGCAGAGGACTTTTCTTGGGGAGGGGTACACACTGATATAGCCCATTTATCTAAAACAGTGTCTTATACATGAGCACTGAATAAGTAACTGCTTAATTGATGAGTAAAATCATTCCTCTGTCTCATTATCCGGAAATGTCGCGAATTAGGTCGAAAAGCCAGCCGTCTCCAACTCAAATTATACGGATAGTCCCTCACCTCAAATCGTTATTTTTAAAAGCCCGCACTTCCCTCTGCCAGGTTCTTTTTTCGTAAAATCGCTCCTTTTAAAACTCATTTCAATGAGACTACTTGAGAAAGCCGCCAGCCTATTATCTGGTAAGGCTGTTCCTTCTCTCCAACTCAGGAGCCGTCAAAGGCCCCATGCCCGTTCTCAAACTCAGGAAAAAGTACGCCACTTGACCCCTAAAATCTTCGCCTCCGCCCCCCTCTCTGCCATCCCTTTCCTCCCACCGGTGGCCAAATTTATACCCTCCACCCTCTACCGCCGTTTAAGCCCGGCCAGTCTCACATGGTAGCTACGCTCTCGAAACACCTCCGACTCCGCGTTTCCTCAGCCTCCGAAAAGAGAGCGCAAAAGAGGCGGGACTTCCGCTTCCTGCAGCCCGCTTCCGTGGGCCCCGCGCAAACTCAACCGGCGGTGTAGGCGTGGTCTGTTGCCATAGCGAATCCGCCAGCTTTGCGCAGCGTTAGGGTTAAAGCCTGGCTTGGTGGTTCAAGGTCATTCAGGACCACACGAGTTAGGTGATCACGACAATGGAGAGAAAGAGAAAGCGTGTCTGACTTAAACCATTTCGTTGTAGAACAGGTGGCAGGAGGACAGGGACACGCCATTTCCAAATGCCCGCCGGCCTTCTTTCGGGGGCGCGGCCTCGGAGAAGCCAATCCGCTCCTCCTGCTCAGAATAGACTCCACCCCTTTCCCCTCCTGGGACGATTCTTTGACGTGTCTATTGATCTTTCCGACTTCGCGAAACCAACCCTTTGCCTACATCCGGGTGGGGCGTGGACCTGCACCCGGGAGGTTGAATGTTTTCCAGGATCAAATGCTTCTAATTGGCTTCCCCTCGAAAGCTGAGGCGGAGCCTACCTCCTTCGCGCTCCCTTTTGGGTTGTGCAACTCTCAGGGGAATCGACACCGAAGGCCCCAGGGAGAAGAAGAGGCGTGTCCTCAGAACGAGAGTCCCCATTGGCTTCACTGCTGGCAGAGGGTGGGATAGTGCAGTCGCTCTTGTTGTTCATTCGTCCGGTGATTCCATGAGGTGGGACTTGGCTGGGCCTAAATTCGATCCGCGGTACCGGACCGATTTCTGGGCAAAGCTGCCATGCGTTCCGGGGGCCGCGGGCGGCCCCGGCTACGGCTTGGGGAACGCGGCCTCCTTCAGAAACCCACACCGCCCAATCGCCGCCTGCTACCGCGGGCGCAGCTCTTGCCCCTGATGCTGCTGGCTCTGGCCGTGGCCTCGGCGTTCTACACTGTCTGGAGCGGCTGGAACCACCAGAGTGAGGAGTTGCCTCCAGGACGGGAGCTGCGGGTAAGGACTGGTGTGGGCACAGCGGGGGCTCCCGGTTCTTCGCCTCCCCTTACCTAAGGTCTCGGGTGGTCGTGGCTTTACCATATGGCCCTAGCAGCAGGTGCTGCCGTTGTCTTTAGGACGCCTGTCAGTGGAATGAGTCTTCGGGCTTGTTCTGTAATAGTGGCTCTCCTTTAAGAGGAAGGGTCTGGAGTAATGAAGTGGGAGTTCTGGGTTCTAATCCTAAAGTAAACTGTTTGGAAGAGTCCTTTTCTCTCGCTGGGCCTCGATTTCCCCAGGATTCGGGGTAGGCTGGATCGGATGGGTTAGAGGAACTTTTCCCGCGTCTAGGATTTATCCTAGAAACCTCTGATGCTGGAAGCCGCGATTAGGAAGAGGAACCGGGGCTTCTTAGGGGAGACGGCGTCTGCGGCAGGGTCAGAATGGGGTTGCTCTCACTCTCTGGTCTTCTCGTCCCCATCGCCCCCCACCCGCAACCCAAGGGCCCTTTGATCGGAAGCCTCCCCGAAGCCCGAATACGGAGGGTGGTTGGGCAACTGGACCCACAGCGTCTCTGGAACACTTATCTGCGCCCCCTGCTGGTTGTGAGGACCCCGGGCAGCCCAGGCAATCTCCAAGTCAGAAAGGTAGGTAATGGGCCGCACTTGACTCCTCAGACCGCTAGAAAACAGGAAATGGGCATTGTGCCCAAGATCCCAAAGCATTAAGGGCAGAGCGGTAGCTCTGAGTGGAGCTAGTCTTACTCTAGAGTAACCACCATGCGGTACTGCCCTCTGTTACTATGTGCTAGGCACAGGTAACAGACCTATGAGGTGGGTATCAATGTGATCTTCATTATGCAGATGGAGAAACTGAGGCCCAGAGCAGTTGGGTATTTTACCCATATCCCAGAGTCAATAAATGGTGTACCAAGGGTTTCAGTCCAAACAATTTGGCTCCAGAGCCGGTGCTGTAACATCTCTATATTGCCTCTCAGAAAGCATCAAGAATCATTTGAAAACAGCCTGAGTTCAAATCCCAATTCAGCCACTTGGAGTGTGACCTTGGAGTAGTTTCTTAGGCTCTCTACCCTACAGAGTTCCTAGAACAGGGCTTGGCACACAGTGAGTGCTATCGGTGATGAGCTGTGATTAGTCTTGGCATCAATAGGTGGGGTCATTCCATGTCTGGTACTTAGCGGATACTCAGCAGAAGTGTCTCAAAGGAATGATTGAAACCAAAATGGGACTTGTGAGTCACCCCGACTGGACTGCTCTGCATGGCTCAGGCCACACGGCCCTTCTCCTGACCTCCTCCCCAGGGCCCCCACCCACCCTCCCACCTCTCTTGCCACTAGTTCCTGGAGGCCACTTTACGGACCCTGACGGCAGGCTGGCATGTGGAGCTGGATGCCTTCACAGCCTCGACCCCCCTGGGGCCACTGGACTTTGCCAACGTGGTGGCCACGCTGGACCCAGGAGCTGCCCGCCACCTCACTCTTGCCTGCCATTATGACTCGAAGCTCTTCCCATCTGAGCTGGCCCCCTTTGTGGGGGCCACGGATTCAGCTGTGCCTTGCGCCCTGCTACTGGAGCTGGCCCAGGCCCTCAACCAGGAGCTGAGCAGAGCCAAGGATCAGGTGAGGAGTGGGGGTAGGGTAGGGGTGGAGGACAGGGGCTGCCTCTCCCTTGGTTGAAGCCACCACCCTCCCTTGCCTTGGTCTTTCTTGTCTTCTTGCCTCCACTACACATACAAAGCCACAGGGATCTTTCTCTATCCTGAATGTCAGATCCTGTGCCTCCTCTGCCCCAAACCCTCCATGGCTCCTACCTCATGCCATGCGTTAGCCAGAGTTCTTAGAGTGGCCCATGGAGTGTGCCTTGTTACCTCTCTAGTCTCCTCTGCCAGCCCTCACCCCTTGCTCACTCTACTCTAGCTACCTGTGTACCTCGAAATCACAAGATTCACTCCCACCTCGGGGCATTTGCACTTACTGTTTGCTCTGCCTAGAATGTGCTTTTCTCAGCTTCCTAGCTGGCTCCCGGCCGTCACTCAGGTGTCCACTTCGATGTTTCCTCCTCAACAAGGCCTTCCCAACCACCCTGTCACAGTCCCATGATTTGTGGTGCTTATGTTGATTTGTCTGTCTCTACAGCTGGAACAAGCTCCCTCTAAGCAGGGGCTTGGCTGCTTTTGTTCCTGCTCTGTTCCCTGCACCCACAATATTGCCTGGAATAACGTAGGATGCCAGTTAAAATGTGGAAAGGATGAATGAAAACCCCAGTGTCCTCACGCTCCTCCCCTGCTTAGACCCTCTGCCATGGCTTACACACCAGTGTCCCTAAGCTCCCTGGTCCTTGCTGGCCCCTCAGGCCTCTTCTCAAACCTCTCTGGCCCTTTCTCTGGCCCCAGCCCTGGTCCGTATCGCTCCCTTGCCTGGGAACACTCTTCCCTGAGCTCCACTTTGCCAGGCCAGCTCCCACTTAGCCTCAGTGCAAACATCCCTTTCCAACAGACCCGACACGCTCTCCAGGCCAGATTCCCCCCCCTCCAACCCCTTTCCTGTGCTCTAGGGTCTTTTAAGACCCTAGAGCTCTTGGAAGCATTTGTCCCAATTGCATTTCACTCTTTGTATAATTATTCATTTGTGGGTCTGTCTCTTTTAGTAAATGGGCTAGAGGATTAATGATAATAATCAGAGCTAACCCTTATTGAGGTACTACTCTATGCCAGTCAGTATTCTAGGACCTGGATTCAAATCCTACCCCATGACTAGAGCTGTTATTAACCCCATTTCTACATGAGGGAACTGATGCTTCGAGAAGTTAGTAACTTACCCACAACTGCTCAGCTAGGACACAGCTGAGCCAGGATTTGAACCCAGCAGTCTGGCTCAGAGTCTGTACTCTAGGCCACTACGCTGTATGAGTGAGGAGACCGAGTTTGTCCCATTCAGCTCTGCAAGTGAGCCAGAAATGGGGGTGGGCCGAGGTGAGGGCTGGCACTGAGCCCCAGCTCCCACAGGCAGCTCCGGTGACGTTGCAGCTGCTCTTCTTGGACGGCGAAGAGGCGCTGAAGGAGTGGGGACCCAGGGACTCCCTCTATGGCTCCCGGCACCTGGCCCAGCTCATGGAGTCTGCACCCCACAGTCCCGGCCCCACCAGGATCCAGGCTATCGTAAGACCGGGGCCCCACTGGGTTCCTGTGAGGGAGGGAGGAGGTGAGGCAGGCTTGGCGGCCTCCCACCCAGCCTTTCCAGCCCTGGCCTCTCTCCCTAGGAGCTCTTCATGCTTCTCGATCTCCTGGGAGCCCCACATCCGACCTTCTACAGTCACTTCCCTCGCACAGCCCGCTGGTTCCATCGGCTAAAAAGCATCGGTAAGGCTGACGGTGGAGGCAGGCTCCAGCCTGGGATGCGGGTGGGAGGGCCGGCGTGGGGCAGGCACCCGTCCTCTGAGGGCTCATCCAGCCCTCCCTCCACCTCCCTAGCCTCTCTCCAAGGCACTAACACAAAGGGCAGAACACAAACTGATCCCACAGCAGTCGTGATTACAAACAGGGCATGGGCTCAGACAGTCCTGGGTTCAAATCCTGACTCTCCTTACCAGCTGTGGGAACTTGGGCAACTGGCTTCATCTCTGGGCCTCAATTTCCTGTCTGTGAAGTGGGCACAATAGTAATGCTAACAGGGAACATGGTACACCTACAGCAAGGGGTAACATTCATTCTTTCTGTGGGATAGCCAGTACTTTACCTTCAGACCCCCTACCCTCCTCTGATTTGTGAGCAGGGAGACCTTTGACCCCCTAGGGGCTGACCTTTGCTCTCTAATCCCCACTGGCTCCAGAGAAGCGCCTGCATCGTTTGAACCTGTTACAGTCTCATCCCCAGGAAGTGATGTACTTCCAGCCCGGGGAGCCCCCTGGCTCCGTGGAAGACGACCACATCCCTTTCCTCCGCCGAGGTACTTGCCGCAGGGAGGAGTGGGGGGCAGAGGCCCACAGGAGCCACAGACAGGACCTGGCCCCTTCCCAAGGGGGGAGGGACTGGTTTCAAGTTGCTTAACCTTCTTGCAACTCGATTTTCTCATCTGTAAGATGGGGATTATAATAGCCCCGTCTCAGTTCCTATCTTGCTGAGGGGGTTGAATGTGCCAAAACCAAATGTGAAGACCTTTCTTGGACCAGTGCCCAGCACATAACAAGCATTTGAGAATGTGGGCTGTTATTGTCTGGGCCTCAGGGGTGGCAGGGTTTTGTCTGGCCCCTGCCTTTCAAGCCCCTGGCAGCCCAGCAGAATCACCCGAGAGCCTTGAAAAACGCCCGGTCACGTGTTGGGCCCACCACATCCCGTTCCTGGGCCTCTGTGTTATTTTTACAAAACTCCCAGATGATTCGGATACACAGCCAGGGTCGAAGACATCTGGTCGAGGGGTTCAGAACATAGGTTTCTGAATTGGTCTGGGTTTTAGGATCTACAATTTAGCACTGGTTGACCTAAGGCAAATTGTTTAGCCTCTCTGGGCCCCCATTTCTGCTGGAAAAAAATGAAGAGATTTTTACATAAAGACCATGTCTATATGTATATTTGTAATCACAGGGTTGGGAGGATGAGATGAGATTAGGTATATGAAATGCCTGTTTGCACAGTGCTTGGCTGCTGCTTAAATTTTTACCCTGTAATTTACTCATTCAACAAGTATGCATTCCTTACAATGCCTTCTTTTTTCTTTTTAAGATTTTATTTATTTATTTTTAGAAAGAGGGGAAGGGAGGGAGAAAGAGAGGGACAGAATCATCCAACACGTGAGAGATACATCGATTGGTTGTCTCTTGTGTGCCCCTAACTGGGCGCCTGGTCCGCAACCCAGGCTTGTGCCCTGACTCGGAATTGAACGGGCAACCTTTCGGTTTGCAGGCCGGCGCTCAATCCACTGAACCACACCAGCCAGGGCTAACAATGCCTTCTGTATCTATTCATTCAATGACTACTTCCCAAGGCACTGAGTGATGTGTCAGGGATACAGCTAGGCACCATAATCCACCTGCCTCTTATCTAATACTTAGCAAGTCCTGACGAACTCAGAGAGCAGTGCTGTGAGGATGGGAACTCAGTGTAGAACAGTGGGTAAGAGCACAGACTCTGGAGACAGGTGGCCTGGGTTCAAATTCTGGCTGTGTTTACTAGAGGCGGGACCTTAGGCAAATCACTCTGCCTCCCTCTATGCCTCAGTGTTCACATCTGTACAATGGCGGTCATTATGGTACCTGCCTTAAAGGATTATTGTAAGGATACAATGGTATGTATGTGATGTATGGCCTTAGACTAGGGCCTGGAATACAACAAGTATTATATAAGAGCTAACTACTAGTAAAGAAGAGAAAAAGAGCCTGATAGACATACCTGATGAGGAGGGTCAAAGACATCTGTCCCTTTTCCTGGTCTTCCCAGAACCTAAGTTTTATTTTAAATCCTCACCGGGGGATATATTTATTGATTTTAAAGAGAGGGAGAGAGAAAGAGAAAGATCGATCGCTTGCCTCCTGTACACATCCCAACAGGGAACTGAACCCACAGTCTAGGTATGTGCCCGAACCAGGGATCGAACCTGCAACCTTTTGGTGTATGGGACAGCGCTCCAACCAACTGAACCGCCCAGCCAGGGCACTGGGTATATATTTTTAAACTCACATGTACCTCATACACTTAGAGTTCAAGTGCCAAGAAAAAGCGTTTTCGGAGTGGGGAGGGGAGGCCTTGGCCTGGGCTCCTGGGCCAGCCATGGGCCTGACCGAGTCTTCCCTCTGTCCTCCAGGGGTCCCGGTGCTCCACCTCATCTCCACGCCCTTCCCCTCCGTCTGGCACACGCCCGACGACTCTGAGGCCAACCTGCACCCACCCACGGTACACAACCTGAGCCGCATCCTTGCCGTGTTCCTGGCTGAATACCTGGGACTCTAGCCTGCCGGGTTGACTCTGAAGGAGAAGCGCCCAGCAGGGGATGTGCCAAGGGCACCCAGAGCCAGCGGAGCTCAGGTCGGCCACCACGGGTGTGCTGGCTCATCCTTTTTAATACCTTTGGCTCTACTTGTGCTGGCACCGGAAGACGCTCTTTCCTTTGACTGTCTCAGGCTGCCACTCTTCAAAGACATAGAAGAGACACTTGCGGGGCAAAAGCCAAAGGAATATGAGCGTGGGCCCTGCTCTGAGGGAGATCTTGGGCTGAAGGTTTGCAAGGACCAAAGGCTATTCTCAGGTTTAGTTAGCAAACCATGGACTGGCATATGGACCAGCAACACCACCAAACCCAATGGGCCTTTGTATTTGTGGCAGTTTGTTCTCCTGAATGGTGGCCTTGCCACGGCACCAGTCCAAGCCTAGCTCCCACATGGATGTGCCATGTGGGGCCCACAGAGGACATGCTCGCATGCAGGAACAGGGGAGATGAAGCCAACACTTGGGAACTCCAGACTCTGCAGACCCAGTGGGCAATAAACTAGTGTTTATGCAAAACATTCTGCAGAACTAGCCTAATAGGTGTTGCATGAAAAAAAGGTGAAGCAGGGTGAGACACCATTAAACGAGTTTCTGCGTGGCACAATGTGAATTTTCAAGCGTAAGACAGTGCAAGTGTAAGTGTTTCCACCCACATTTCAGCACGGCTCCCCTTACTGGGAAGCACCTCACAGAACTACAGGTATGTCAGAAGATACTTGGGGAAACACTGGGTTTTAGTCATTTGAGTATGTCTAGAGAAAGCAGATAGACCAGGAGTCACTGCAAAATAGTTAATACCAAACCACCCCGTCCCGTTTAGTTGTGCTTATAGGAGTGCAAGATAGTGGGTTTAACTATAATTTTAGCAATGGCCTGAGGAAGTATTTCCAAACACTACCTAATTTTCAGACTCAACTAGGGTCCTTACTAAAAAATGCAGACTCCCAGGTTCCACCTACACCTAATGAATTAGAACTTTAGGGAGGGGCCGGGACTCTAACAAGCACCCAAGGAGATCTCATGATCGGCAAAGTCTGGGATGCGCTGTCCTTTCATTTTGGTGTGTTCCCAGCTGCTTAGCAAACCTACTCCAAAAGCATGGAGGGCGCCTAGAAAGGGAGTCTTATGCTGGGCTCTGTGCCTGCTGGCTTTGAGGCAGCCCTGGTGGGTGGTAGGGATGCCAGGCCAGGATGGAGGGTTGTTTAATAGTGAAGGTGAGCATTGGCCTTCTGAGCCAACTCAGGGCTGGAGAAGATTCGAGAGCTCATGGGCTGGAACTCAGGATATCAAATGAGAGGATAAACAGGAGGTTCTCGTTTCACATTCTGCCACAGTAGCTACGTTGGTTGGGTACCTACTGCAGGCCAGGCACCGTAAGCACTTTAAGTGTTCCAACTCGGTCTCCCACAAATCCTGTGGTAGGTGTATTTCCAGGTGTCATTTTGCAGATGAGGGGGTAGGGTCTGAGATTTAGGAACCAGTGGTTTACACAGAGCCCAGCTTCTCGCACACGGTTGTGCTCCTAACCCTGTGATCTACCTCCCTTCCAAAAGGGACCAACCAATAGGTGGTTTACAGGTAACTCCTCCTGAGTTTTTATGGGGTGCAAATTAGAGTGGGGTTTGGGGAGGGGTATGGACTAATGACCTCCTTGAGGTGGAATTGGCAGAAGTCCAGCGTTCAGAAAGGGCTATTGAGAAACATCAGCCAAAGGGTCTCACACCACAGGGAGAGTCCTGTTTGTTCATTCCCATGGGGTAAGCATGGTGCCAGGCACTTAACAGTGCACTACGTCGCCCTGGCTGGGCGGCTCAGTGGACTGAAGTGTCACCCCATACCCCAAAAGATTACAGGTTGGATCCCCGGTCAGGACACAGAACATACCTAGATTGTGGGTTCAATCCCCAGTCTGGGTGTGTACAGGAGGCAACTGATTGATGTTTCTTTCCCTCTCCCTTCCTCTTTCTCTAAAAATCAATAAGCATACCCTTGGGTGAGGATTAAAAAAATAAGTGCGCCACGTCCCCTTCGCCTCACAGCCATGAAGAAGTCGATGAGACATCATCTCCAAGCTGTAGAGGGGAAGCAGAGTGTACAGGTACATCCCCGGCCCTCTGTCTCCCTGGAAGACATCTTGGTTGATTGTCCTACATGCCAGGCACTGGGCAAGGAGCCGGATGCAGTTTTTGCATGAACCCAGGGCAAGGATTGTGAGCTCTGTTTTACAAACAGCTGCTGCTGCTTGGCCAGGTATTTTCCCAACTCCCATTTGCCCCTCGCACTTGGTACCTCAGCCTCATGCTATGAAAGGGCCACTATGTGTATTTAGTAAACACACTTGTTGAGCACTGTGGATGAAACATATATCAATCTTTTGAGGAACCATCAGTATTCTAATTTTTCAGATTAAGAAACTTGAGTTCCACACTGACTGGTGTGGCTCAGTGGATTGGATGCTGGCCTGAGAACTGAAAGGTCGCCAGTTCAATTCCTAATCAGGGCACATGCCTGGGTTGTGGGCCAGGTCCCCAGTTGGGGGCGTGCAAGAGGCAACTGATTGGTTTCTCCCTCACACTGGGTGTTTTGCTCCCTCTCTTTCTCCCTCCTTTGCCCTCTCTCTAAAAATAAATAAAACCTTTTAAAAAAAGAAAAGAAACTGAGTTTCAGCGCAGTCCATTACTGAAGATCACATAACTGGGCACTTTGACTGCAGTGTGTCTAGGTATACATTTCTTTTTATTTGCCCTCCTTATGACTCACTGGGCTCATTGGTCTTTTACCAGCCTGGAGTAAGGAACCATCATCTTTAAAATATTTTTGCACTGTTCTCTTTTGATTCTAGAGCACCAGTTACGTACTAGACTTTCTCACTCTTTCCTCTACAAACTTTTTGTCTCTGCTACTTTTCAGACTCATCTTTGGTTCAGTAACTCATCAGTTGTATCTAACGTGCTGTTTAGCCCCGACATTGAGTTTTTAAATTCTTGTTATCACCATATTTGGCTGTATATGTGTTCCCATGTATAACGTGCACTCTTATTTTTTCCCTCAAAAATTTGGGCAAAAAGTATGCGTTATACACGGCAAAATACAGGTGTATGTGGGCGTTTTCCTTTCACATCTGCTAGGCCTTTATTTAGTCCTGAGTTCCCTGTGGATACTTCCAAGCTCTTGCATTCTTATCTGTGATGGACAGTCTTGCCCGTCTGAGGATGCTTTTGTGCTGATGTCTCTGGTGGTTCTCGCTCACGCTGGTTTGTTTCCACGCCTATTTGGTTATCTGACTGTATTATCACTCACTGTCTGAAAATTATTTATGGGACTCTAGATGATGGTTCCTTCCACCAGAGGACTTGCATTCGTTTCGGTCAGACATCTCAGCTGGAAGTATCACCGATGCAAACCCAGGCTGCAAACCCGAGCCAAGGGCCAGCTCGCGACTGCGAACGTTCAGGTCCACTTTTATCTTTCTTCGGTCTTGCGCTCCCCTCAGTGTCTGGAACATCTTTGCAATCTTCTGGGTCATCCTCACCTCAGCTTATGGTTTGGTGGGATCCCAGCTCCTAGTAGATATCCCACCTTAGGCAGGCATTTGCCTTGGCTTCTGCCTGCCCCAGTAAGGCTACCAACAGGACACTCAAGTTTGTCCACATCAGCAACTGCCCTCAGAGCAAAAGTGGCTTCAGGGCCCCATATACCTTTCCCTTAAATTTTAAGCTTAGTGTGTCCCTAACTATTTTATTGGTTTTTTGGTGCTTTTAAGATTTTTTACTTCTGGTTTTTAGCAAAGAGTCTAAATAATCTGGTCCTCCCTCCACAGGAAACACGAGCCAAATCCACAAAACCAAGCTAAATTCAAATCCAGATCTCTTTGTGATTCTAAAATCTAAGTATTGAATAACTACTATGATATATCCTAGTCTCTCTGGAGATTGTGATTCCCTGATAAGACTATCAAAGGATATTAGCTGCCTCCCAATATCCATTTTCCCTCTTCTTTTATACTTGAGGTTTTTTAATGTCTTAATCCCTTTTTACTTAGTAAATAAGTAAGTGGATATTTTAAAGCTTTCATTACAGGGATCTTTTTTGTAAGAGTGTTTTTGGGCATAACGCACCCTGCTAAAAGACTGCGTTCCTCGTCTCCTCTGCATCTCTGCCATATGGCCAAGTACGGACCAGTGAGAAGTACACAGAAGTAGAGTAAGTCCTCACTTAACATTGTTCATAGGTTCTGCAACTTTAAGCGAAGTGATGTATATAACAAAACCAATTTTACCATAGGCTAACTGATATAAACAAGTTAAGTTCTTACGTGATGTCACCAATGTTATCATGAAATGACGGTGAATGAAATGTTACTTAAGGGCCTACCGTCCAGTGGGGTACTCCCAGGAGGAGGGGGGTTCCCTTCCTGCAAACTGGTGATGGCTGGAGCCCTAGCGGTCATCTTGGACCACGAGGATGAGAACCACAGGCGAAGAATGACGTAGTGAGCTAGAAGGAGCCTGGGTTCCTGGTGACTTCAGGGCCAATGGATTTCTAAAGAAATAAAAACTTTCCTGTTTAAACTACTACTATTTTGAGATTTGAGTCTGAATGACACAGATGAAGAGTCAAAAATAATTCCATGCTGGGGGACTTGGCGAAGGATCCTTTTCTCTCAGCTTTTTCTGCACAGACCCACGACTCCCTTCTCTCCCAAACCCCCTCCCTGAACAACATACAAACCAGTCTGGGCCCATCCTTATAAATATGGATTTTATAGAAAGGACCAATTCAAAATTGGCCAGATGCCACACGCTAGAAGCTTCCAGAACCATAGGGATGGGAAAATGAACAAAAGGGAAAAAAAAAAGAAAAACCAAACAGAACAAACAAAAACACCCCAGACCAAACTGCCTGAAAAATAAAGCTCTCAGTTAACCGAAGGCTTCTAAAGGAACGTATGTGGCTTGGGGTGGAGAGCCCCCGATGCCTGAACAAGTACCCAGAGCGGAAGGAGAAACAACCAGAAATTCAAACCCACAGTCCCTGCCCACCGGCCCCCCACGCTGTCAAGAGCGAGGCAAAGGGCTTCACAGCTTTTTTTTTTCTTCTTTTTTTGAGGGGTGGTGATGGCAATAGCTTAAATAACGGGAGGGGGGACATTTTTATAGTTCAACTTTTTTTCTCTTCCCCTTTGGGGGGTGTGGAGACACTGGTAACTTAAGGTTAAGGAGAAAACAGTGATTTTTATTTTTTACTGGGGAAAACATCTAGAAGTGGCAGGCTGCCGTGAAACATGCCCCATCTGAGCTGTGATCGGACGGCCCCCCCAATTCCTGACGAGGAGGTGAGCCCTGACACGTGGCTTAGGAGAGGCGCCAGCCTTGGGTGCTGCAGGCCCTTGGGAGAAAGGACACAGCTCCAGAGACAGAGAACTGGGGAAGGGAGCGGAACGGGGCCAGGACGGGGGAACCCTTAAGTAGTACCAAAATTAGCTGCCGGCTGCTCCCTGCTGGTGGGTCCCTGGGCTGTAGGGAGTGGCAGGAAGGGTGCTAGGGCTGAATGCAGAAGAAACTTGAGATGCTAATAAAAAACACCCTCCTCGAGGGTCCCCGGCCCTGGGTGTGAAGAGTAGAAAACCAAGAGGGGTCCATCAGAGTGCTTTCTTAGGTCACCCCCCTGAACCCCGGTCAGTCCTGGAGGGGGATCAATGCTGCCCGGACTGGGGGTATGGGCTGGTGACCCAGTCCTGGCCCCCGGCTCCCACGGGGAGGGGTGGGCGTGCCGGGCTCTCCCCCTCCGCTGGCTTCACCTCCCCTCCTCCCGGCCAGCCCGGCCCCCGCCCCCACCAGGCCCATTGCAGGGCAGCACCCAGTTGTTATCGTGCAGACCCAGGCGGCAGCCAGGCGTCTCGCGATCGGCTCGGCGGCAGCACATCCAGTAGGAACGTCCGTAAGGCAGGTCATGGTGGTAGGGCTTAGGGTGCCAGCGGCAGAGCGACACATCGCCCTTCTCGTATCTCTTGCGGCACTGCTTGCAAGGGTCATCGCGATAGAGTGGGTCTCGGCTCCAGCGCGAGTCTGTGGCCCGCACGCCAAACGCCTCGATGATGCCCTTGAAGTGGTGGCAGGTGCACTTGAGGGCCGCCAGGGCCCGGGTGGGCAGGAAGCTGAAGATCTTGACCAGCACGTGCTCGGGCAGCAGCAGCATGTACTGTCGCGGCTCCAGCAGCCTCTGGATCTTGAAGCGGATCTCGAGGAAATCGTGTGACACGTGCCGGTACAGGCGGCACAGGGAGGTGTCCGCTGTGCCCTCAGCATCGTCCGGGCCTGGTGCAGTGGCCGGCGAGTCAGCTGGGGGCGGTTCGGGAGGCCCATCAGGCCCACGGGACTGGAGGAAGAAGAGCTGGCCGGGTGGGGGTGGCTCCTCGGGGCTCACCGTCAGGCACACCGTCTCCTCCTTCACATTCTTGGTACCATCCTTGCCAAAGAAGATGCACTCGTCCACCACGCCCGTCACCACCACATCCACGTGGAAGCCGGATGCTCCGCAGTCCCGAGCAGGGGGCGGAGGGGGAGCCGGGGGAGTGTCCTCAGGCCTGGCAGGGGCTGGGGTCTCCCCCTCACTGGCTTCATCTGCCCTGGCCAGAAGGAACTCCACATTGCTGGGGAGGGCGTCCCTAGAGGGACTGATGAGCTGGTACAGGTCGCAGGTGATCTTGTCCTTGGCTCGGGCCCCAGGCCCCGGGCTGCCCGGGTAGGCACAGCCCGGCCGGCCCCCGCTGCCATTGGGCAAGCTGCCGTCCGGCGCCCGGGGCTCTCGGCCGTTGGAGATTCGAAAGGCGATGCGTACCTCCCCGGGGCCTGGGCCAGGCCGCTCCTCCTTTCGGAGGCCTTTGGCCGGAGGGTTGTCCCGCTGGGCCTCAAAGTGGGCCACTGCCTCAGCCACGCGGCTGCAGTCCCCGCCACCAGGCCGCCGCTCAGACCCCAGCCCCTTGGCAGGCCCTCCCTGCTCTGCTGACACGAAGACCATAGGCGCCGGCGTGCCGGGGTGTGGGTAGTTCTGCAGGGCGAGAGCGGCCCGCTGCTCCACCAGGGCCACCATCTCGGCCACAGAGAGGAGGTCCACATCCTCCCCAGCTGAGGCTGGGGTCCCCTGAGCGGCAGGGGGCCCCTCCCGGCCCCCGGGGTCCGGCGGAGCTTTAGTAGGCTCAAGACAGCGCCTCCTCCGCTTGGCCTTAGAGCTATCACTGCCCCAATGCCCCTTGACCTTCATGGAGCTGGCCCGGCTGCCGCCACCACACTGGTGGGCCACAAAGAAGGCCACCTTCTCCTTTGTGTTCCCAGGCTTGATAACATACCATGTGTCCAGCAGGACTCGACCCTCGTCACCAGCAGCTGCTGCTGAGAGGAGCGGGGCGGGCTGGGAGGCAGGGGCCTCCGTGGCCAAGGCGGGTGGCGTGTTCTCTGAGTGGGCAGGCCCGTGGTCTGGCTCAGCCCTGCTGCCTGGCTCAGGGCAGGCTGACGGCTTGAGGGCTGCAGAAGGCGCGCGCGGCTGGTTCTGTGAATAGGTGCCAAAGGGCCGGGGGCACCATAGCTGGAAAGGCAGGAGGCCGCCACGGTCCATTCTGGGGAATGGTGGCAGACAGGCAGGGGATCACTGCATCTCAGGACCTGGACAGGGGG